CACCACCCCATATGAGACAGGCGATGGATATCATCAGAGGTATTATCGTATTTAACATCCTCGTCTGGTATTGCCCCATCGTGATGCGCCAAGAGAGGTGCCAGTTCCTGTTTATGAAGCAGGACCATCTGATCCTAGTTGGGCTCGTGTTTCTTCATTAATTCATCGTTATCTTCAACAGGCTGGTGCTGAAGAGGTTGATCCACAGTTTGCTGAGTTGTTCGAAGCTTTACATATTGCTCGATCACATTGACTTGTATTTATATTTATGGTTATGTGTTAACTTTTAGACGTGTTGACTTATATTTATGGTTATGTGTTAACTTTTAGACTCATTTGACCTAGTTGGTTTATGTTTATGTGTTAACTTGTAGCGTGAAATTAAAAATGAATAACATAATTCATGACTCATGTTTTCAAATTAAAAATGAATAACATAATTCATGATTCATGCTTTGAAATTAAAAATGAATAACATAATTTATGATTCATGTTTTGAAATAAAAAATGAGTAACATAATTTATAATTCATAATGCGTTGGTAATATAACGTAAGTTGTTGCCAATGTTGTAGACGTCCTGCAAATTCTAACATCCAAGATGTTGCTGCTGGAGAACGAAACTTCTTCCAATCTACTGTCACTGGTGGCAATGGAAACCCTTATTTCATGTTTACCTAAATAAAAAAAATAATCAAAATATTAAGTAAAAATAACGAAAAAGAATTAGGTTTAATATCATTATCTAAAAATAACTAAACACCTGAACCCAATGATTTGTGTTTACAAAACTAATGCAGTAAAATGATACATTTAGTGAAAATGAAGTTGTCATAGGGAAGAAAATCCAGCATTCAAATCCTAAACAGACAAGTACAACATTATAACTATTCGTTATCACGTAACCCATATCTGGTAAAGTTAACCATTTATGTGGTGGTTGAGGACCAAATGTCTCTATCATCAAAGATTCTCTCACTACTGCTAACTGATCAGTAAATAAATTGGCATACAAACTTGATCTTTCATTATGTATTATTTCCAACCCCAAGTCTCGACGAACCATTGGCCAATCATCTTCACCATATCCATGCAATGAAGCAATGACTCTAAATCCACAATTACCATATGATACAACATTAACTACATCATCAATATAGGACCTGATGTGATTAGGAAACTAAAGGATGAACTGCTTAGATGATTGTGAAGATTGTGATAATTTCAACTTCTTCGAAGCCTATGATGATTGAGATTTCTTTTGTGAAGACTATGATAATTTCAACTTCTTCGAAGTCTGTGATGGTTAAGATTGCCTCTGTGAAGATTGAGATGTTTGATCAACATACTCATGATACGAAGGGTCTCTATAAACATCACACCCTACTGATTTTTTTCCTTTCTTCTTGACTCCCCCTTTAGTTTTTATTTCTCAGGTGGTGGACACATAGAAGCCATTGTGGGGAAGGCAAGTTCAAAAATCCTACTTTTCAATGCCTTTTTCCCAACAACATCCAGTGACTTAAACCTTTTCCATAACTCATCTATTGCACTACTCATATCCACCTCTGGTCCATCATCTACGTCTTCGTCCAATTTAACTTCCATACTTAGTTTTCTCCAATGAACATGCACAACATCTATTAGTATCGGTATACCATCAATTCTATATCATCTCAACTCACAAACACAAGGTAATATGTAGGTTGTTCTAAGAGTACAACGACATATTTCCTTATTAGTTCCAACATAATCAACTCGTTTTAACTCTTCAGCAATGCGTCTCAATGCATCTCGAGACACTGAACCACATAAATTATTGTAAAATAGACTTACGTGGGCGTGCTCAACTTCATAAAAACTCTTTTGAAAAGAAGCTCTAATTTTGCCCAATTGTAACTTTAAGTTGTCATTCATAGTCTCCCAACATTTGACCATGTCACCAATACCGTTCTCCAACCTTTGCTTTAACTTTCAATGAGTAGACTCAACCCTAAAATTAATACATATTAAAAATATTTTTAAAAAATACAAAAAAGGTATACAATTAGAAATACTAAAAATAAATACATACCGATTAATCGTGGTGTTACCCAAATGTAGCACTCGATTAATCCATACTCCAACAAATCTTTGTCTATGTGGTGTCAACCATATGTCCTTCACATAATCAATAAATTCATTACAATCAACACACGCCTGCTCAAGTTGATTCAACCTTTGATCATATTCAACCTCATCACTAGCCCATACAACATCCGCCCATAATTTGTCATGCACCAACATTCTTGTTAATATGAAATCGACATAGCAAATTGATCGACCTTGAAAATACAATTTCAATGACTTTCATCAAACCAAGATCTCTATCTGTCAAAATCACTTGTGGACACAAATATTTCTTCACAAACAATTATTTAAGTTTATCTAGCACCCAACAAAAAGTATCAGTCTGCTCATACTCAATATACGCAAATGCGACAGCAAAAGTCAACTCGATTGGTGTCATGCCAACAATTTCAAACAGATGTTGCCTATATTTGTTTGTCTTGTAAGTGTTGTCCATAACTAACACAATAGGAAAAATATTCAACAACTGAATTGAATCTGGATGAGCCCAAAATATATCTTTAATAACTTCAGAGTCATCTCTTTTTCTACTCCAATAAACATAACCTGCATCCTCAATAAGCTTAAACAAATGTTGTATCTCACTTCTAGGACCTCTTATATTTTTTCTATCATACTCTTCTGCTTGTATATTTGCGTGATCCGAGTGACATTATTTAGATCTTACTCTTACAATGAAAGCAATATATCTCTAGGTGGAACATTTCTCTTTGTCAAATCAACAACATGTTGCTTCTGATCCGTTGTCAACCTACCAACAAATACGTGACCTTCTAATCTATCAGGTAAACCATGGTTATGAACTCCACATTTTACATCAATCTTCCATCCAGATCCATCAGTCGCTGGAATCAACAACGTCGCACTCTGCGCTCCACTATTAATATCTTTGTGTTTTCCACCTTTATCACATCCAAATATTAATTTCTTACTCCTTCTCCTCTTGTCTATTTCAATATCTGAACGAGTGATGATAATCGTTACTTTATTTCGCATTTCAATATCTTTAATCCATCTTATCACCTCTTCTCGTGTACCAAATATTTAAGTAGTTGAAAAAACACCAGACGTATCTACACATATCTGATCTTTATCGCATATTTGTGAAGGAATTTTTGTACCTGCATAAAAAATAAAAAATTTACAAAAGCAAACTGGAAGACTCAGGAAAAGAGTTTCTGGTAGACAAAGATAATAAACCAGAAGACTTGTAAAAAGTGTTCCGATACACTTTTCCTTCATACTGAAACTCTTAAGACAAGTGTTCCGATAAATAATACTACCAAACCAGAAGACATGACATATAGTCTTCCGGATTAGTCTTTGTTTAACTCTTCTTGTACATATTTTGTATAAAGTGGAACTCTTGTCCAAAGTCTTCCAATTTAGAAAAAACAACATACCGAAAGTCATTTTTAGAGTGTTTCGAACGACTTGATGGATGAATTTTACAAAACTCTAAAAATCTGACAGGACAGTAAAAAGTAAAAAAATAAAATAGTAAAAAATAGACAAGGATAAAATTGACATTTTTTTAAAAAAATGTAAGGGTGTGGGTATAATTATAGAGGAATTGGGTAAAATTTTCGTTTCTCTTTTGTAGTCTTTTGTTTGTAACACCTTTTTCTTTTAATATTATTTGCCTTCATAGAAAAAACCCATAATTATTTTTATTAATTATATTTTTTAATAATTATTATTTATTTACATTAATAGATAAATACAATAATATATAATTTGCCGTAGTCAAATTAATAATTCTTGAAAATAAATGAAATAATTTTTATTAATATATTATTTTATTTATTATTTATGAAGTTTTAAATGAAATTGTTATGAAATAATTTTTTGCTGCTCATTGCCTCGTATTTTGATAAGTTTTTGGATGGTGGTCGTTAGTCTCCAACAAGCACAAGATTATTTATCTCCCTTAGTTTGTTAAGAGAAAGGACCGACCAACATGAAAGACAAGCGAAGAGAAGCACTCCCTGCCATGCTAGCAGCATCAATCATGGAGTCAGTTTTCGCTCATCTCGGTCTCTTTAACTGATCTTGGTCAGGGTATAATTATAAAATGATTATATAAACTGTCATTTTTGTAAAACTAAGCTATGAAGTATAAACAAAGAACTTGAATTACCTATAAAATGGTTAGAGAGAAATTAGTGTATTAACCCTTGAAATTCCTGCTAAGCACTGAATTTTGATTAAATATAAAACAACTAAGCCAATATTTGGAATTGCAGTGGAGATGCCACCTAAAGCACATATAATATAGTCTGAACAAGAGAATGATGACATTAGCTTTTGTTTGGCTACACACTAGTTTAAAAAATGAGCTTTTGTTTGGCTACACACTAGTTTAAAAGTAGCAGCAACTTCAACAGGCAAATTTAACTGGCATAAAACATTTGCTTTAGGAATAACGCAATTCAGTAATATCGTGACGACGTTTGAGCTTCTCTCACCCTGTCTCACTCATGTTGTCATATTTCACCCTCATTGATCAGACACAGCAAGTTGTTGAGATTTTGCATATGAAATTAAAATTATATAAACTGTGTAATTCAAATTGTGGCTGCTATCCGGGATCGATAACACTGATTTAGCATGGACACCTAACAAAGATTTAGCACAGCTAATTGAACATAAATATATGAATAGCAATAGCAATTCATGTACATTTCCTAAATCAGCAAATTCAACTAAGTCAAGATATACAAATCAGTTTGTTTCCTCGAATATTTTTCCATTAGACAAAAGTTTCATCAATTCATTAATTTAAACGGCGTAATAGTAAGTATATGTGAAAGAACTGAAGAGAGATCAACAATCAAAGTATCATCACAAAACAAAAATGATTTCCTAACCTCAATTATCTATTCCACCAATAGTTAGTAAATCCGAAGGAAGTGAAGCTGGATCAAGCTCCCAACAGTCTTTCAACAATTCAGGAGCTTCGTCGCAGGGAAACTTCTGTGCAGGAATCTGATGAGAAAGTAACCAAAATTCATCCTTCCCTAGAAATCTAACAGCATGGCTCCCACTCTCCTGTCTTTTAAACACTGTCTTGTAACCATCAACCTTCTCAAGAAACGCCATGCTCATACCATTCATCTCACTGTAACTTGTCAAAAACACAACAATATCATAGTATCTTTTGCCTTCACCTCCATCAGAACTCGCCTCATTATAAAGCGCCCAAACTGAACCCTTCTTAGGATAAATTTTGTAAACCTCGCACGCTGCTCGATCACAGTCCACAACATGAGAAAAAACATTTACTGAATTAATTGTAGTCTTCTTAGCAATTTTAAACCTCCCACAAGGTATATGAAACCCTAATTTCTCCCTGGTAACAATCTTTTCATCCCCGTTGTTCTGCAAATCCAACCAACTTATCCTCACTAGAAAAGGATTCGCCGAAACAGTTTCATCAATCAAAGCATACTGCCTTGGCATTCCATCATCATCACCATCATACACAGCCCAAACTTGACCTTTCTTAAAACTCCTCCCCACTCTATCTTTATCAAAATCATAAAAATCTGAATCCCCAACCACCATAGCTTCTAATTCATCTCCACTAAAATCCTTATGCTTCTCCAGTCTCAACTCTTTTCTCTTCACATAATCCTCATTCTTCTTCTCCTTGACTTCAAAACCCTTGTTAATTTCCAATCCCTTCATTTTCTCTTTCTCACCCTTTCTATTCACAGAATCCTCATTCTTCTTCTCCTTGACTTCAAAACCCATGTTAATTTCCAAACCCTTCATTTTCTCTTTCTCACCCTTTCTCTTAGTCTTCACTTTCAATTGAAATTCAGCCAATGTCATTGTTTCCTCTTCATTCCCAACAACCCTCTTGGAGTCAGAATCCTCCAAAACCTCCCCAACCAAACGTGTTCTCTTCCTCATTCTCCCATCAACACCCACTTCATCATTACCCTTAAAGCTCACACCTTTTTCACCATCACCCTTAAAGCTCTCACCTTTTTCACGGCCCATTTTCCCATTCTTCTTTCTCTTCTTACTCTTCAACATAAAATCCCTCAAAGTGTCAACCTCTTCTTCCTCCCCAGACCCATCATCCTCAACAGCTTCAACAGCCTTAAAACTCTTGTTACAACCAGGACAAACAAGCTTATGACCCAAATACCTTCTCTCAAACTGATGCAAAACCCTGCAAGTAGAACACGCAGTCCAAAAAGTTCTCATCTTTTCACGAATCTCAAGATTAACCTTACCGTCGTAGCTTTCTCTGAGGGCTTTATCAGAGAGAACACCAAAGGCGTCGGTAACAAGTTTGAAAGCTTCTTTACACGATGCCACGTGGCGGCGGTTGTTGTCTGGACGAAAAAGAGAAGAAAGTTTATCAAACTGTTGGCGAATAGTGTTGGAATCGGCGTTGGGTTCAACGTCGAGAACAGCGTAGAAATCGGGAGCGGTTAGAATGTTGAGAGTTAACTAACTCTGAGATTCCTTGTGACTGTGGAGCTGAATGTGCGGCGTATTTAAGAGCGGTTTTGGAGTTTTTGGTTTGTGCGAGAGATTTGAGTCGCGCCGATTCGTGTTTTGCTGGATTTGGCGGTGTTGTTGCCATTGGAAGATGGGTTTTGGATTTGGGGAAAAGGACGTGGATGGATTTGATTGTTCATTCTTGGGCCTACCGCTAAATAAATTAGAAAACTTTATGAACATTTATGTCTCTCTATTATAAGAGGAATATTTAACAATTTGATGACCAAGATCGCTAAAATAAATCAGAAATCTCATGATTTGTTTGTGATTAGTTTCTATTTTAGGTTTTCAAAATTGAATTTGTCTAATAGAAAAATGCAAATCAAATTAAATTCTAAAAAATTGTATTTAATTTGAATGTGTTTGAGTTATTTTTTAATAAAATTATAAGACATTCGATGTGCAGTTTGTATTTTGCAAACTTAATTAAACCGAAACAAATACATCCAACTCAAAACACAAACATATTATATTTAATTTTACCATTACGAATGATTTTCTCTTCCTCACACTTAGAGTTTTATTTTTAGCCTTTCCAAATCTCTTACAATAGTATCACGTATTCTTTTCATCTTATTTGCAATGTATATCTCGCATCTTCAACTTTAATCTCTCTTCTCTTATGTTCTTTCTTTTTAATCTTCTCATTTTCATTGTATCTTTCAATTACGTTTTTATCATACATTTCTTCACTAATCACACATCTCTTATGTTCTTTCTTTTTCCTCTTCTCTAATCTCTCATCTTATTTTTTTCTATTTCATTATAATGTTTTTAATATTATTTTATGATACTATTTCATATTTTTTATTTCATTTTTGTCTAATCTGATTTTTGAATATTGAATGGATAGTTGTTGTGCAAATATGATGAGTTTTAAGGTTATTTCATAACCCATGAATGACTAAATACTGTGAGATATTGGATCGAACTCTAGTATGATCGAAGGTAGCTTCTTGGTTCGACAGATGTTTAACATGTAGTCGAAGGTCGTTCACATGTTGTTGTTGAAGTAGTGTATGTTGTAGTCGAAGTAGGATCAAACATGCAGTTGCCGGAAATGCGAGATTTGTTAGCATGACGGATTGGGTTTGTTTGTTATGTTTAATTGTTTAAGTTAGCTTGTAACGGGCAATTGTTAAAAAGCACATTAGTTTAGTATGTTAGGTTTTATTATAAATATCATACTAGTCTCTTATTATAATGCGTGGAAAATCCTAATTAGGGTGAGAGGATTATTTGTTATTTTGAGTACTTGTAATATGATTTAAAGATAAAGTAAAGAAATAGTTTATACTTTTGTTTTCAAGACATCGAATTTCACAACAAATTGGTGCGGTAAGCATGGAAGAAGATGCCCTCAACAATGTATGAGATTGAAAAGTTCACCAGAGTGAACGATTTCGGTCTGTGGCCCTTGAAGATGAAAGCCATATTGGTTCAGCAGGGTTGTTTGGAAGCGTTAAAGGGAACTGCAACCATGGACGTTGCGTTGACGGAAAAAGAAAGAACGGGTATGATAGAGATAGCCTACAACGCCATCTTATTAAGCCTTGGTGATAAGGTTCCACAAAAGACGGTGACATCAGGGTTATAGGTCGAACTCGAAAGTTTGTGCATGACTAAGTCGTTGGCCAATCGCCTCTACCTGAAGCAAGTTATGTATTCATTCAAGATGAGTAAAGACAAAGTTTTGGCTAAGCAGTTGGATATGTTCAACAAGTTGATTCTTGATCTTGAAAATATTGATGTCAAGATTGATGATGATGATCAAGGGTTGTTGCTTATCTGTGCTTTGCCCAAATCACTTGCTCACTTCAAAGAAACTATGTTGTATGGAAGAGAGACTTTATCCTTTGAAGAAGTTCAGTCAGCACTGTATTCGAAGGATTTGAATGAATGAAAGAAGCACAAGCCATCTTTGACTTGTGAAAACATGTGGAAAGTTCGACAATAAGAAAGAAAAAAGTCAGCAAAAGTCTTATAGTGGTGATGTATCTGGCATTCAATGTTATCACTGTAAGAATGAGGGTCATACAAGAAAAGTATGCTCTAAACGCCTAAACAATCATGGAGGAAAGGATAATGGTAATGCAGTCATTGTGCAAGATGATTATGAATCATATGATGTCCTGGTGGTGTCGAGCAGCAACTATTGCAAAGAGTGCATTATGGATTCAGGTTGCACTTGACACATGACTCCAAACAAAGACATGTTTAAGGAATTGTGTGATCCAGATGGTGGATCAGTGTTGCTGGGAAACAACAGAGCTTGTAAAATTGTAGGTATTGGATCTGTGAGATTCAAGCTCCGTGGTGAGTCGATAAGGCTATTGACTGAAGTCATGTATGTACCTGATTTCAAGGGGAGAAAAGTATCCTAAGATTCATGAAGGGGTCGAAGAAAGTCTTGAGAGACAGAAGAAACAAGGCTTGTATACCCTTGAGGCTGAAGTTGTAAGTGGTTCGACAAATGTTGCATCCACAAAACCTTTGTCAGAGACAGAATTTTGGCACATGAGATTGGGTCATGTTAGTGAAAGGGGTCTGGTCGAATTGGGGAAACAGTATCTGCTTGGTGGAGATAAAGTCGAGAAACTAAAATTTTGTGAACCCTGTGTACTTGGAAAATCTTGCAGAGTGAAGTTCAATAAAGGCAAACAAAAAAAACATGGATCCCTTGATTACATCCATGTTGATCTTTGGGGGCCTACAAGGTGTCTATCACATTCAGGTGCACGATATTTTCTATCCATAGTTGACGATTGTTCTAGAAAGTTATGAGTATTCATCCAAAAGACTAAGGATAACACTTTTGAGAATTTTAAAGGTTGGAAGACTCTGGTCAAAAATCAGATTGACAAAAAGGTCAAGAGGTTTAAAATCAATAATGGCCTTGAATTTTGCAATGAGGTGTTCGACATATTTTGTGCTGCCTCGGGTATTACAAGACACAAAACTACTACAGGTACTCCATAACAAAATGGTTTGGTGGAAGGTTTAATCAAACTATTTTTGAAAGGTTTAGGTGCATGTTGACTAGTGCAGGGTTAAAGAAGGTGTTTTGGACTGAGGTTATTTCAACAATAATAAATTTGATAAAAAAATGTTTTTCGACTCCGTTAGATATGAATATGCATAAAGAAGTTTGGTCAGGAAATCCACCAAATCTCGACAAATTAAGAGTATTTGGCTGCGTGGCTATGCTCACATTAGGCAAGATAAGGTCAAACCTAGAGCTCTAAAATGCATGTTCATGGGATACCCTGAAAGAGTTAAAGCTTATAGGCTATGGTGTTTAGAGCCATGTCATAGGAGGTGTATCATCGATCGATATGTAGTTTTCAATGAAGTTGAGATAACCTTTAAGAAAATTGATGATGCTGATGAAGAGCTGGTGGAACAGGGAGAGATTCTTGTTGACGTGGAGCATGTTGATGTTGAATTGTGTATCCCATATGAAGTCAAATAAGAAGCAGAAGACACTGAGGAAGTTGAGGAAATTGTCAATGACTACCTATTGTCAAGAGATATGTCAACGAGAGTCATCGAGCCACCTCAGAGACTTGGGTATGCAGATCTTATAGCTTATGCCTAAATCTCTGGAAGTGAGGTTCTAGACGAATAACCTATAAACTGTAAGGAAGTCATGAGAAGTCAAAATAAGACTGAATGACTGAAGACCATGGATGATGACATGAAACCACTTCATGATAACAACACTTGGGAACTGATCAAGAAACCTACTAAAGCCAGGTTAGTCAGCTATAAGTGGATTTTCAAAGTTAATTAAGGAATCAAATTAGTGGCATCAAAGAGATACAAGGTGAGATTGGTTGTTATGGGTTTCACTTAGAAAGAACGTATTGACTTCAATGATGTGTTCTCTTCTGTTGTGAATCACATGTCCATTTGAATGTTTCTTGCCACGGTGGCACAGTTCGACCTTGAACAATAACAGATGCATATGAAGACCTCATTCTTGTATGGTGATCTAGATGAAACAATCTTGATGAGGCAACCTGAATGGTATGTCGAAAGAGGGGAGGAAGATTATGTGTGCCAGCTAAATAGATCTTTATATGAACTGAATCTCCTCGATAGTGGAATAGGAGATTCGACAAGTTCATGACACACATAAGTTTCATTAGAAGTCACATTGACCACTGTGTTTACTTCAGATTTCGACCTGGTAATCATTTGTTATTTTGTTGCTTTATATGGATGATATTCTAATAGCAAGCAACAATGTCGGAGATGTAATGAGGGTGAAAGTTGAACTCAATAAGGAGTTCGACATGAAGGATCTGGGAGATGCATCCAGGATTAGTGGGATTGACATCCGAAGAAATAGAAAGCAGTCGAAATTATGCTTATCTCAAGAGGCATACATACGGAAGATTTTCGAAAAGTTTGGTATGTCGAATTCAAAGCCTATTGTGACTCCGACAAATCCTATACTAATGTTGAGTATAGATCAATGTCCCACTACTGATGTCAAAAGAGATTATATGAATAGAATTTCATATACTAATGTAGTGGGTTCTTTGATGTATGTTATGGTTTGTACTAGACCCGACATAACATATGCAGTAAGTTTTGTAACCAGGTACATGGTGAATCATGGAAAGCATTAAAATGGATTCTAAGGTACATAAATGGGTCTTTGAACAGAGTCCCAATTTATAATGGAACCTCGAGTGAAGATAGTAAAACAACAATCAAATGATTTGTCGACTCTGATTATGCAGGTTGTGTGGATTCTAGAAAATCTATTTATGGATATGTCTTCACTGTGTTTGGCACATCAATTAGTTGGAAAACAACACTTCAGAATGTTGTTGCCTTATCAACCATTGAAGCGGAATATATCGCCTTAACTGAATCTGTGAAGGAAGCATTGTAACTTAAAGGTTTTTCAAAGAAGCTGAAACTTCAAGGTCGAGTTATCACTGTTAAATGTGATAGTTAAAGTGCAATACACCTGTCAAAGAATTCAACCTATCATGAGCTAACCAAACACATTGATGTGAAGTTGCATTTCGTCATAGGGGTGATCTAGCATGAAGATATCCAAGTGCT